AGTCATGACAAAACATCGAGAATCATGAAAATTCATGAGGTGAGAAAAGAGGTGAGATCTCACCTCTTCACCTAAACATTATTTTTGGGTCATTTACGTTCATTACGAAGAAGTTATACCATGAAAATTCATGAAGAACTTGCGATTTTTCATACGGAATCCATCTTCTTTCATCGGTTCTTCCGAGGGAAGCAATCATATGAGGAAATTCTTCTAAAAAGTTCTTTTGTCTGATTTACATCTAATGAAAAAGTTTAGAAGAATTTTCTTATTCTTTCTGGCTTATTTTTGTTTTTCCAGTACTCCCGCTCTAATGGTCCCAGATGTGTTGACTTTGACTCTCTCAAGTTCTTAGATGGTATAACATCTTCAACGCCTCCTTCATAAGTCTTGACAAAGCATATACGAAGAAGTCTTGACAAAGCATATACGAAGAAGTCATGACAAAACATTTACGATGAAGTCATGACAAAACATTTACGAAGAAGTCTTGACAAATCATTTACGAAGAAGTCTTGACAAAGCATATACGATGAAGTTTTGACACGAAGTGAAGATTTGCACTTCGTCAAAAAAGTGAAGGTTCGACAAAACATATACGTTCATGTTTGACAAAGCATATACGAAGAAGTCTTGACAAAACATATTCGAAGAAGTCATGACAAAACATATACGCTCATGTTTGACAAAACATATATGAAGAAATCATGACAAAACATTTACGCTCATTACGATGAAGAAGTCATGAAAATTCATGAGGTGAGAAAAGAGGTGAGATCTCACCTCTTCACCTAAACATTATTTTTGGGTCATTTACGTTCATTACGAAGAAATCATGACAAAACCTATACGAAGAAATCATGACAAAACATTTACGATGAAGAAGTCATGACAAAGCATATACGATGAAGTTTCGACAAATCATTTACGTTCATGTTTGACAAAGCATATACGATGAAGTTTCGACAAAACATTTACGTTCATGTTTGACAAAGCATATACGATGAAGTTTTGACACGAAGTGAAGATTTGCACTTCGTCAAAAAAGTGAAGGTTCGACAAAACATATACGTTCATGTTTGACAAAGCATATACGATGAAGTTTTGACAAAACATTTACGATGAAGTCTTGACAAATCATATACGAAGAAGTCATGACAAAACATTTACGAAGAAGTCTTGACAAATCATTTACGAAGAAGTCTTGACACGAAGTGAAGATTTGCACTTCGTCAAAAAAGTGAAGGTTCGACAAAACATTTACGTTCATGTTTGACAAAACATATACGTTCATGTTTGACAAAGCATATACGATGAAGTTTTGACACGAAGTGAAGATTTGCACTTCGTCAAAAAAGTGAAGGTTCGACAAAACATTTACGTTCATGTTTGACAAAACATATACGATGAAGTTTTGACACGAAGTGAAGATTTGCACTTCGTCAAAAAAGTGAAGGTTCGACAAAACATTTACGTTCATGTTTGACAAAGCATATACGATGAAGTTTTGACACGAAGTGAAGATTTGCACTTCGTCAAAAAAGTGAAGGTTCGACAAAACATATACGTTCATGTTTGACAAAGCATATACGATGAAGTTTCGACAAAACATATACGTTCATGTTTGACAAAACATATACGATGAAGTTTTGACACGAAGTGAAGATTTGCACTTCGTCAAAAAAGTGAAGGTTCGACAAAACATATACGTTCATGTTTGACAAAGCATATACGAAGAAGTCTTGACAAAACATATTCGAAGAAGTCATGACAAAACATATACGCTCATGTTTGACAAAACATATACGAAGAAATCATGACAAAACATTTACGCTCATTACGATGAAGAAGTCATGAAAATTCATGAGGTGAGAAAAGAGGTGAGATCTCACCTCTTCACCTAAACATTATTTTTGGGTCATTTACGTTCATTACGAAGAAGTCATGACAAAACATTTACGAAGAAATCATGACAAAACATTTACGCTCATTTCGATGAAGAAGTCATGAAAATTCATGAGGTGAGAAAAGAGGTGAGAAAAGAGGTGAGATCTCACCTCTTCACCTAAACATTATTTTTGGGTCATTTACGTTCATTACGAAGAAGTCATGACAAAACATTTACGAAGAAATCATGAAAATTCATGAGGTGAGAAAAGAGT